ATGATATAATGTCAATATATTGACATTATATCATCCAATTTGACGTGCTTAGAAGAGGACACAAATTCTGAGGTGGATTTCTCCAAAATCCGTAACTTCAATTTAATAATGAGAAAACATCAGCTAAACCCAAATTGAGGGACAGCCTACAAAATACCTGACCAGTGCTCTTCATAAGAAAGGGCATGAAAGACAAGGAATGGCTTAGCACTTGTTACAGGTCAGAGCACATCAGGGAGACCTAACAGTGAAATGTGATGTGGGATCCAGGATTGAATCCTGGAACAGAAAAAGGGCATAAGTTGGAAAACCGGCAAAATTCTAGAAAAGTCTGTAGTGTACTTAATAATATCGTACCAATATCAGTTTCCTGGTTTTGGTCATTATGCTGTGCTTTGGTTATGTAAGATGGTTATCATTAGGGAAAGCTGGGTAAAGAGTATATGGGAAGTCTCTTGCAATAATTCTTGCAACAATTTTCTCTGAATCTAAATAATCTAAAATTACTACAAAATAAAGTTAGAAACATAAAGTAACCCCACACACCCTCCCTGCATTATCCCCAATCCCACCTCTCTCCTGGTGTCCTTCACAGGGCTCATCGCATACAATGACTTTGTTTGTTCACTCTTTCCTACCTGACCTCCCCCCTGCACATAAACTTCAGAGGCACGGGGCCACAGTTTCCCCAGTGCCTAAATACTGACTTGCGTTCAATAAACACTGCTTTCAAATGTGTTGCATACACACATTAATTAGTATTCCTAGATGTGCTTGGGAAACATGAAGGGAAAAGTGAGTGTTCTAGAAGACCTCCAGAGCATGAGAAGGCAGCAGAGTCAGGAGTCTTCTCCCACGTGCTCAAAGGTGAACTTATAGGACCCCCCCACCCGCGCCAGATTAGGAATTCCTACCCCAGATTCTGCAGAGAGGGGGAATAATTTACTATCCTCTTGCTTCAAACTCAGCAGTCCCCCCAGGACGACCACGGAGAGAGGATTCTTGGCAGGACTTAGATGGCCAGGATCCAGAACATAGGCCAGGCAGGGAGCACCCCTTTCCCTGCACCCCCCAGCCTGTCTTAATCTGCCAGGAGACCCGGGAATGAACTTCCCAATTCCACAACCTGCAGCAAATTTTACCAGGAAAACCCAAGAAATCACATTGTGCAGACCTTGGCCTTTCCCCTAATTTCCCTCTACAGAGCATCCCACAGTAGCAGCGGGGCAGGAAGCAGGAACCTGCTAACTCCAAGGTGGAGGGCTTATGCTGTTTTGTAGCCTTGGACGGTGGAGGGCCACTGCAGTAAAAAGGAGCCCAGATGGGAGCCAGGACTCTTGGGATCTGTCTCCACGTGTGCATGAAAGTGAGAGGAGACTGTGTGCAGTGATCTGTCCTTTGAGCTCTGATGTTTTGGAATCTTCAGCACTTTCATAAAGAAGGGATCAGTTTTTGCTTTGTGCCCGAGCTGGAACACAGTGGATGGCACCACTGACATTGCTGAAGGGCTGCCTCTCCAGGCCTGGGCATGTTTGGGAGATTCCAGACCTTGGTTATAGGGGAAGGTGGAAGCTGGGCATGAATGTGCACCAAAAAGGAAAGGCTCCTGAATAATAGGTTAGAAGCATTTGCTGGACCACACCAAGTGCGGCCACAGTAGCAGACAGGGCTCTTCACACTTTAATTTCAATTTCATCTCTGTATCAAACACTTTGCAGATGTGGATTCCGAGGCCCACAGTATCAAGTGTCTTCACAAAGGTCAGGCAGGTGGAAAGGAGGCAATCTGAAGCCATCCAAATGCCGTTCAGATGCATTGATATATTTTTAGTTTATATAATCTTTCATTTCATACTTTCATTTAGAGGAAGAAAACTGAATGTCTCTCTTTTCTCTTCCATGGCTTTTGAGTCTCACACATGAAACTCCCAATGGTGCTGGCAGGATGTTATTACTTTGACATGTCAACTAAGTTAGGAAATTAGAGGTCAACACCCCTCCCACTCCCTAAGGAATGGCCATCCCTCCTATCCCATGACCCTTGTCCTTTTTAAAGCCCTTTCACAGCCTTATGTGGAAAGGATCCTAGGCTCCCCACTTCCCAGATGAGCAGACTGAGGCCACCCAGGGTAAGTACCTGATTGCTGACAGGGTCAGGGCTGGGACCAGAAGCCCCAGCTGCAGGTCAGAGCATCTACCCTTCTCCATGCTGGTTTAGTGGCTAAGGCAGGGGCAGCCAGCCCAGGAACTACCATAGGGGACATCTAGGTCCCAACAAATACTGTTTCTTAACACCAGCTTTTGAGAAACATCTTCCCCTAATCCACAGAAGCAACTACTGAAAAGCTGTACATTCACGTGGTTCCAGCAATGAAATGGGGCACTCTCCTTTGGCTACTTACGGTAATGTCCAGTTTAATGACGCATCCCAGAAGTTTTATCAATTTCCGATGAAAATCATTTTCCTAAAAATGTCCCACCTCTAATGCTTGCCTGGAACACTGGGGCAGGCAGTTTCCCGTGCTGGAACTATTGGGCAGGGGTGGGGGGTTGGTGGGGGCATGTATCGATTTCACGAGCCCACAGGACAGAAGCTTGGATCTGAGGTCAGTCCAGGTGAAGAGGGCTCGACTCAGCACAGGCGGGCCCCCAGGTCAGCAAGGGAGGGAGACCACAGAGCTTGGTGCCCGCAGGAGCTGGGAGGTTTGTGGTTGTTCCCTCAGTCCTGGATCCAACATGAGTCAGTGTCAGGCCTGCAGACAGAGGCTCCCAGTGACCCACCAAGGGTCACCCACTGTGCCTTGGGGGCAGACATACTTAAGAATGCTTTGAGAGGGGTCGGGCTCAGGGCGTGGCTGAGTGACCCCTCCTTATTCTTGGGGCCACACCCTGTGACAACCAACAGCCTGGACCTATTTCGTCCTGCAGATCAGGGATGCTTACACAGTCATGTAACCGAGGTGGTCTCTGCAGTTACCGAATCCATGGAAATTGTCCCCAAAGCTCTGTATCTGAGTGTGTAGGGAGGAGGGGACTCGTGCGGTGATATTCATGACGAGCATCACTCGGCAAAGGTCCAGAACCCTGCCCTCCACATCCTGCCTCTGTGGGAGGACCCAGATCCGGCCTGTGTCACGCTGCCCCTGAAACAGCCTGGCTCGTAGGTGGGCATTTGCTGCAGGTCCAGCACCCTGTCAGACAATGGAGGTTCTATTTTCCCTCCTCCCTGGTCAGGGGATGAAACACCCATCTCCTGCCCAAACATGTGTCCACTGGCCCCGCCCAGCACAGCTGTTTGCCCATCCATCACCGGACCAGGTCTCCACCGCAAGGACAGGAAGTGCTCCCACGTCCGCCTCTGCCACCAGCCTGGTGACTTGTGGTCGCTGAGTCCAGTAGCCAGAGAGAGAATTTTTAAAAAGACTCACAGACATGTAATTAAAATCTCAGTGTTGGTTTTGGGGGAAGGCTCTGGGAGGCTCCCGCCCCTGCTTTGCGGAAGCACAGATTTTTAGTGTTTGAAAGTGACAGGAGGCTAAAGTGAGACGCTCTAAATATACTGTCCTGGGCATTTCCGGGCAGCTGGGGAAATATGGGGTTTATTCTGCTCCTGCGGTCTCTTGCCCAGACTGTTAGAGCAGCCCTGCCGCTGGCCTGCCTCGGGTCCCCTCCAGCCTGGGCTTTACCCTCGCCTCCACACATAGCTTCCAGTCTACCCTTAAACCACACTCCCTTGCTGCCCAGAGCCCTGACGCCCCATTGGCCAGAGCACAGCCCACGCTCTGAGGCCAGAATTCCAGCTCTCCGCAGTCAGGCCACAGCCAGACTTATGCCCTGAGCCGCACATTGCGGGATGGTGGGCGGCCCCAGCACCTCACACCTGTGCAGGACCTCTGCCTAGAATGTCTTCTCCCCCACCTTATCCACCTACCAAGAGTCAGTCCCATCCTTCAAGGCCAGTTCAGGTGTCACCTCCTCCGGGAAGCCTGCTCAGATCATGCCATGGGACCCTCCAGCTTCCCCAGCACTTGACCCAGCATCTCCAGGAGCTGTCATCCTACCTCGCCTCTTCCTGGTTCTTTCCGTGTCTCCCTCCGGCCCCGCTTCCTGCTTCCCCTTGATCCAAAGAGGGTCCTGCCGTCCTTCCACCCTTTGCTGGGCTTTATGGCTGTTGTTTTCCCTGCCGGTGCTGTCGTTCCGCGGCTCTAGGCCTTTGCTCAGGCTGGACCCTGCCTCTGCAGCGTCCTTCTCCCTTGACATCGTGGCAAATTCACTCTCACCCCTCAAGGCCCAGCTCCAAAGCCCTCTCTCCCCTCAACTCCCATCCACATACCGGCTGACTCCGGGAGCCCCGTCCTGCCCAGGTGCACTCAGCTATGTCCCTGCTGCCACCGTGGCCCTTTTCTGCCTTGGGTCTGATGTCCATCTCCCCAGAGGAGGGACCTGCCCTGTGCCCATCTGTGGGTCCCAGAGCCAGCAGGTTACTGAGTGGGGCAGGCTGGGTTTGGGGCTTGCGGACCAGACCTGGACACTGCCCTTGTGGCACCGCCGTGTGCCAGGTGCCATGCCAGGCGCCTCACGACACAGCTCCCCGAGCCCTCTCGGCACCCAGGAGGCAGAGCTGGGACAAGCCTGTTCTCGAGCAGGGAGCGGTCCCACCCAGACTGCCGGGGCCCCCAGATCCCACCCGGCCCTGCCCACCCCGGAGCCCGAGCTGGAACCACAAGTGACCGCCAGTCCCACTTTGTCTTGCAGTGGAGCGGGACCGCACCCTGGGCCACCAGGAGCCCCAGTGGAAGGAGTTCCGCTTTGACCTGACCCAGATCCCGGCGGGGGAGGCCGTCACGGCCGCGGAGTTCCGGATTTACAAGCTGCCCAGTACCCACCTGCTCAACTGGACCCTCCACGTCAGCATGTTCGAGGTGGTCCTGAAGCAGTCCAACAGGTGCCTGCCCTGCGCCCCGCGGGCCCACTCAAGCCTCTGTCGGAGGGTCCAGCCCAACCCTGGGTGCCGGGGGGGACATTTCCCAGAGGACAGAAGGGGAGCTTCCTGGGCAGCCCACCCTCAGAGAAGAAAGATGGTTGGCCCGAGGCCTCGTGTCACCGTGGGGAGAGGCCCAGCATCAGTCCTGGATTCAAGTCCCCATCCTACTGTCCTAGCTGTGGGACATGGGCAGGTCACTGAGCTCCTGAGCCTCAGTTTCCGCATCTGTACACGGGCACAGTAACACCTTTGTACGGTAGACGCAGTGAGAAAAGGCATGTAAGGCACCAGAGCCAGGCGGGGTAGATGCCCCACTAATGTCCCCCAGGAGGGCACTGGAAACACAAAGGCAGCTGTGCCGGCCCTCAGTTAATTGTTCTTTCGTGTCCACAGGGAGTCTGACTTGTTCTTTTTGGATCTTCAGACGCTCCGATCTGGGGACGAGGGCTGGCTGGTGTTGGACGTGACAGCAGCCAGTGACCGCTGGCTCTTGAACCGTAACAAGGACCTGGGACTCCGCCTCTATGTGGAAACAGATGATGGTAAGACTCGGGTCAGCAGCGAACCTTCCCCTGGGGGCTCCTCCGAGGAAGCTGCTGGCGGCAGGCGCAGCTCGAGCCCCTCACGTGGCCCTGGAGGCCTGGCCTTTTCCACCTGTGCCGCTGGGGGATACCTCCACCCCTCCGCGGGGGCTCAGTGGGTAGAGAGTGAGGTTCCCGCAGTGCAGGACAGCAGGAGACCCCCTACCAGCCGAGAGTCCCCCCTCTCCTTCTGCAGGACCAACAGCTGTGTTGCTCAGACTGAGTCCATGTTTTCCCTCCCCAAGAAATGGGAGATTCTTTCTACTCTACGGAGCTGCCTTCTGCACCAGGAGTTTCCGTCCTGGGCTGGGCGAGGGGAAGCGGTCACAGGCTCAGGCTCCGAGGCAGAGGCCTGGGTGTGAATCTCAGCTCTGCAGCCTTCTAACTCGGTGACCTTGGCAGGTTACTTACCTTCCTAAGCCTCGGTTTCCTCATCTGTAGAATGAGGATTCACACCTTCATTCATTTAGCAGGTGTTTGGGGGAGAGCCTCCTGGTGGGCCCAGGGTTGGTGTGTCTGTGGTACAGCGAGGGCCACAGGGGGCTGGGCAACGGCTGTGAGGACGCTGAGAGAAGTGGGCCAAACAGTAACTCTGAAATAAATGTCATCTTATTTAATAGCAGTGGAGGGGGACAGGATCTGATTCAGCGTTCTATAAAACAACCCTCTGAGACACTCCCCCTCAAGGGGGTGTAGCATCTCTCCCCCTCCTTCAGTGTGGGCTGCGCTTACAGACTCGCTTCCCAAAGTATGCCGTGGGCTGGGGCAGTACCTTTGCAGGGGCAACCTGAGCTGCACCCCTCAGCCGGGTGCTCAGGCTCCCATGAACACATCATGTAGCTCCCAGACACCCTTGATCTGACGGAGTGGGAACAGCACTTCACCTCCATGGTCTTCGTCCCCAAAACCCAGAACCCCAGTCTCACCATGAGAAAAACATCAGACAACCTGAAACTGAAGGACATTCTACAGAACACCTGCCTGACCAGTACTTCTCAAAACTGTCAAGGTCATCAAAAAACACGGGAGGTCTGAGAAATTGTAACAGCCCAGAGGTGCCTAAGGAGTTGTGATGACTATATGCCAATGTGAGACCCTGGGTGGGATCCTGGAAAGAAGACACTGGAAAACTAATGAAATCTGAATAGATCGTGATGTTTAGTAAATAATAAGATACCAGTATTGGTTGATTAGTTGTGACAAATGTGGTTCCAGGACAGTACGTGCTGGGGACACAGGTGTGGGAACCGCTGACGTGCAGGTGGATCTGGGGGCAGGGGGACGGGAGTAACGCGCCGGGGAGGAAGGGTGACGATGAAGAGGAAGGAGACGGCGCCCAGGCTTCCCCGGAGGGACGTCACCTCGGGGCCTCCGTGCGCCAGTCCCCGGATCCCTCCAGTCCCGCCTGACGGTCCGGACCGGTCCCGCCTCCCGCCTTCGCGGCCCGGGAAGCTCGGCGCCTCGGGCCCTCGGAGCGCGGAGACGGAGAGGGGCGGCGGGGAGCCAGCCGGGCGGCCGCGTCACCGCCGGGGGCCCCCTGCCCTGTGACGCGCGGGCGGGGCGCGCACGGCCGCCGCCTGTCCCCGCTGGGCCCGGGGCCGGAGCCCCAGCCGGAGCGGAGCGGACGATGGCAGCCCTGCGGCTCCTGGAGTCTGCGCTCGGGCGCCGGGTCCCCGCCGGCCGCTCGGTGCCCGCGCTGGCGACGGGCAGTGTGTGCGGCTTCGCCCGCAGCGCCCGCGCGAGTGCCAAGCCCTACGCGGACCCCGTGGAGGCCGTGAGAGACATCCCGGACGGCGCGAGGATCATGGTCCGGGGCTTCGGCCTCTGCGCGATCCCGGAGAACCTGATAGGGGCGCTGCTCAAGACCCGCGCGAAGGACTTGAACGTGGTCGGCAGCAATGTGGGGGAGGAGAACTTCGGCTCGGCCTTTTCCTGGGGACCATGCAGATCACCTACATTGTCGGCTCGTACTTGGTGGAGAACTCGCTCTGCGAGCACCGGTACCTGGCGGGCGAGCTGGAGCTGGAGATCACACCCCAGGGCACCCTGGCCGAGCGCATCCGCGCGGGGGGCGCCGGCGTGCCCGCCTTCCACACCCCCACGGCCTGCGGGACCCTGGCCCAGGAGGGAGGCGCGCCCAGCAAGTACTTAGAGGACGGCTACATCGCCATCCTGAGTCAGCCCAGGGAGGTGAGGGAGTTCCACGGACAGCACTACCTTCTGGAGCACGACGTCACGGCCGATTTTGCTTTGGTGAAAGGGTGGAAGGCCGACCGGGCAGGAAACGTCATCTTCAGGGCCAGCGCCAGGAACTTCAACGTGCCCATGTGCAAAGCTGCGAGAACCTCAGTGGTGGAGATTGAAGAAATTGTGGACCTGGGGCCGTTTGCCCCAGAGGACATCCATGTTCCTAACATTTACTTAGATCAAGGAATACAGGCGGGAAAATATGAGAAAAGAAATGAGCGTTTAACGATGCGGAAAGAGGATGATGAAATATGCAAGTCTGCAGATAGTATAAGGACACGGATCCTCAAGCAGGCAGCTCTTGACTTTGAGGACGGCCTGTATGCCAGTTTGGGCATAGGAATCCCTCTTCTGGCCACCAGCTACATCAGCCCCAGTATAACCGTTCATCTTCACAGTGAAAATGGAATCTTGGGCTTGGGTCCGTTCCCACTGAAAGAGGAGGTGGACGCAGATCTCAACAATGCGGGCAAGCACACAGTCACCCTTCTTCCTGGGGGCTGTTTTTTCTCCAGCGATGAACCATTTGCCATGATTCGAGGGGGACACATCGACCTAACCTTGCTGGGAGCCATGCAGGTTTCCAAATATGGTGACTTGGCTAACTGGATGATACCCGGCAAGAAGGTGAAAGGAATGGGGGGTGCGATGGATCTGGTGTCCAGTACCGAGACCAGAGTGATGGTCACCATGGAGCACTCCACCAAGGCCAGTGAACCCAAAATCTTGGAGAAATGTACCAGACTGTTGACTGGGAATTGGTGCGTGGACCGCTTTGACAGAGAGGGTGAAATCATCACCGAGAAGGCTGTGTTTGACGTGAGAGGACTGACCCTGATCGAGCTCTGGGATGGCCTGATGGTGGAGGACATCGAAAAGAGCACCTGGAGCACCTTTGCCATCTCCCCGAATCTCAGACCCATGCAGCATGTCTAAACCTAGCCGGAAAGTGAACCTTGGTCCCAGAGCGTGTGCTTCTCCCTTTAACCTCCTGGATTGCATCCTGAGAAACCCTCAGTCACATTTCTGCATTTCACCAGCATCTGGCCGGCTTTCTCCTGCCATCCCAGACGGGCTGCCACTGGATAGGCTTTGTTCTCTCGAGAGGGACATGCCTTTAATTAAAAACAAAAGGAAAACAGAGGCACTGACCTTATATGTCCTGTGAGTTCTGAGAAAGCTCTGCTCCAATCACCCTCCTCCCTGTCTGTGATATTTACATTAAATTCTATGCAGCTTGAGATGATCCCATGGGAAAGGTTTCACTGAAGTGCCTACTTTCGTGAGTGGATAATGAAATATGGGAAAAGTGATGGGGGAGGAACTGTCACCGAGCCCAAGCTCACTCTCCTCACTGCATGACAGGCCAGTAAATCAGGAGATGAGTTGTTGAGACAAGGAAGAACGACTTTAATTGGAAGGCTAGCAGATGGAGAAGATGGCAGACTAGCGTCTCAAAAAACCCATCTTGTCCTAGTCCCAATTCAGGCTCCTTTTATACGATCTTGTGGGAAAAAGGGGCAATGATCTTTCTGGCTACTTCCCACTGAACAGCGGTGATGAGGGGGTAGTTGTGAAATGGAGTTGATCAGTTTTGGGTCAGGAATATTCCTTAAAATTTTTAGTAAGCAATACAATTCTCTTTCTTTATCTACAACTATTTGAACCTGATGAAATCTCTTCTACAATGAAATTTTAATCTCAATACTTATCCTTTTTGAAGAGCAACCTGAAGTCTTCTAAGGGTTCACAAGCCCATTGCTCTCTAGGCCTCTCAGGAGTTGGGTAATTTTCTGATGACAGTGGGGCTACTTTAACCCAAGTGTGATGAATCCATGTCTTTACTCCAGCTAACTTGACAGATGAGTGTGTGGTAAGTAATACCACCTGTGGTCCTGTCCACCTTGTAGTCAGATGGTGCTCAGGCCCTTGTTCTCTCTAGATTTTAAGGAGGACTCCAGGCAGGAAAGGATGTAGGGCTACGTCAGTTGGATAGGCAGACCTACTGGAAGCAAACTCATGAACAGAGGTTAGTATAGTGCCCGGAGTTTTAACATAATTGGCAACTGCTAGATCTTTCAGAGCATTTATAGATTCTCCCTCCCCGGCAGGCACCTGGAATAGCCTACCATGCAATATCTCAGTGGGGCGTAATTTGAGCTGCTTCTGGGAGCCCCTCTGATCCGTGGCAGGGCAACTGACAAGGCCTTATCCCAAGGTAAATTAGTCCCTTGACATATTTTAGCAATGCTCCTTTTTAATATGTAATTCATTTTCTCAGTTTTTCCTGTTGATTGTGGCCGCCAGGATGAATGTAGCTTCCGGTTAATTCGCAGTGCTTTAGATACTTGTTAGGTTATGGTAGAGACAAAAGCAGGCCCATTATCACTTTGAAGGGGGTTAGGCAGTCCAAAGAGGGGGATAATTTCCTTAAGGTGGACTTCAACCACTTCAGAGGCTTTTTCTGTCCTGGTGGGATATGCCTCCACCCATCCTGAAAAAGTGTCCACAAATACTAGCAGGTGTCTGAAATTTTCTGTGGCTTGAGGCATTTGAGTCAAGTCTATTTGCCAGTCCTCAGTGGGGCAGGTTCCTCTGTGTTGAGTTCCCATTTGGGGAGGCCTGACAGCAGTCTTTGGGTTATTTTTAGCACAAATCATGCAATTTTGAGTGACTTGCTGGTTGGTCCTTTGTGGGTTAGGCCCCATTATGTA